GTGTTGATCATAGGCAGGCGCGCGCGGACAGATGAGTAGGCAGACATGCTTACATTGAATCCGAATTTGGGACTGGTCAAAAATAAACAATCTGAATTTTCCTTCTACACATACTTTCGTAAAGTAAGTGTTTGGTTAATATGTATTTGAAGTGCTTAAAAAGTATTGAAACACCCCTCAGAATATATATCGTTTTTATTAAAGATAAAACAATCAGGCATCGGATGTTTCTCTGTATGTCAATCCTCAGTGCAATTCACGCTCTCGTTTTAAATTCGTTTAAAAAATTGTTATGATTTTATTAGTTTACTAATTATTAATTTATTAAGTAATTTATCAAATTATGAATGAGTTTTTAGATATTTTTATAGTTAGATAATTTCTTTAATTTATTGTCCATCGCTAATCATTATTTCCTTTCTCATACAGCTACAGTATAAATTCTCCATGATTTTTGTAGCTTATCCGGCAAGGATTATCGGCATCGTTATAAGAATAGACTCGACAGAGTCGAACAGATAATAATCCTTCACTAGCGTCAGTCAGAAGGAGTAATGTCTCTACTAGGAGTACTAGGAGAAATGTTAGTACTGTGACGGAGTCAACAGGTTTCACTCTGCCACTACCAATGCTTCCTGATGGTTTTCCCATACGCCGTTGACCGTAATGATGAAAGATTGCGTCATCATGACTTTTGATATATTATAACTTTTCAGTCCAGTTGTTTCAAATGTTGATTAAAGTTCCGTAGCTCCGCAGTTGTGAATTCGCTTGATTGAAATAACTCGTAATATGCTGCACTCAGCGTATTGCGACCCTTCTTACGGAGTTGTTCTTGGTTTCATCGATATTAATTAGACAGTCACATTCGAATGGACTAGGTAGAGTTTTGCATAGGCTATCTGTACGCTACGTCATCATCTAGACAAAGTTATATTAACGCAAGGTTGCATAAAGCATTCTCCTTCATTGAGTTATTTTGACATCGATGGCGTACTATTCACCTTGTGACATTTTGTAACATTTCATTAGAGAAGCCAGTGTATTTTTATGAGTAGGCTCGTTTAACGATAATTTGTCATTCGGTAAGATATGCTCTTTTTTACTGTGATTTCGAATTTGGTACGGAAAATATTGATGTAATTTCTTTGAAAGTGTTGTATGTTGTATACACTGTATATATTGAAGACTTTTGTCACGTAAAATATATCAATAACTCAATCGAGAAATTCGTGGACGACGATTTTTCTCGTCTTTTTAGCTGGGCATTTTTTTCGGTGTAACATTTGCTGGGGTTAAAAAAAATTCTTAATTCTTTACCGAGCAGAAATTAAACTGTTCATTGGTGGCGACAAGATTTGATTTCATTTTTCGCTTTGCCACAGCTTTGAATGTTTTAAAGCATCTGCTAACAGTCGTGTCGTATTGACACCTAACTGGCAAATTATATAAAGAAATACGTAAATATAAGCTGATGGATTAGTTTGTTATTAAATTGGATATACATAAATAGGGTTACATGCATCAGAAATTAAGACAAAATTGTCAAGGATATATTTGAATTCGCTTTGCAACAATTGACCATATAGGCAAAGGCGTTTAAAAATAATTTAAATTTTGTCCTCTTTTAGTTAAATTTTTGCCCAACATGATTTTGCTTTTGATATCTTCGCCTTTTTTTAATCTTGCAATTGCTTTGCATAGTTATACTGAAAAAATAGTTGAAAAATTTTCATCATTCTTTTTGAGGAAGTACTTGAGAAACATAACACTTGATATTGTCCAATATTTATTTTGATCTAAATAACAGATAATCAGGAGGTCGCGTAAAGGGAAACGTGGCTGTCTTCATTTGTTTCATAATATTGTATTCAGACGTTGCGTAACGAGCGTTTCATATGTGTGCGTCTATTCTCTTTTGCTATTAAATTCTTTCGTTACTTTCTTGGTTCATTCTCCTGTTAGAGTATAAAGATAGATGTTACCATTCGCCCAATTGACTGCATTTACAAACCATAAACCAGTTATGAGTTCGTTTTAAATATCTTTTGACCATATAATGATTGAAAGTCTGATTGGCATATACAAGCGAACGGATGGATACACCCGATATGCACAAGACCACACCACATGCTTCAACGGGCAATTGCTAAAATATCAGTTAATTTTATGTGCATAGAAATGTGAATAAGCAGGTGTGTAGCTTCTGTGGGAACAAATGTGAATTAAGTGTGAAGTAGACAATTTTTAATTTTAATCCTCTATGTATACATTCAGATCAGCAGTATATAGAAAAAAGGTGAAAATTCATTTTCCCATCGTTATTATTGCGTTTTTACTTTACATTTTAAATATGATTTCTCCCCCTTTTCTCGCCCTCTAAGCTTACCATGACTATGTTGTTGTGCTCTTATTGGTTCTTTTTCTTTTTTAATAATAAATTTTCATTAAAAGCTGAAACCTAATAAAAAAAGTAGTGTAGGAAATTAAGCTACATTAATTTTTTTTTGTTTGATTTTCAAAATTTTTCAGCAAAAGTACAAACAACTTTTCTAGGTCAATCGAAGCAATAATTTTAAGTTAATAAATTTTCAAAGCAAAATAAAATTATGTGTCGTTTGGATCGCTTCTCTGATAACCTATAATCTATTTGGACTTGGTGTTCTTATTTGTTAGACTAAAGCATTCCCGCATACATCTGTAAGCTGCCGAAATCCCATTCAGCGAAATATGTCGCAAACACATGTTCAGCATGTTAGAAATAATGGAAATACGCCAACACTAATTTTCAGATTTTTGCATATAATGGGCAATCAGACAGTTTATCAAGGATTCACTATGTATCCGTGAAATATATTTCTGTGTTGCAACCTTTCAATGAACCTGATCAGTAACAATAAAATACGTCTTTCTGTGTATTACAAATGAAACGATAAAGTAATTAGATATTAGAGTACAGTTCGGGAACAAAATGGAAAGAAAAATATGCATTACATATGGGCATAACTGACTTATTAAATAATATACACCATCTTCATCGATGTGATCTCGTCAAGAGGCTTACTTGTGATTAGTATCCCTCTATGGGACGGAATGTGAAATTTAAACCTATATAGTTCAAACTTTATACTTATATGTCAAATTCACGTTTTGTGCCAACTTCCGCAATAAGATATTAAGTTAAATTTGACGTTGTGGCCACATGAAGGGTAGATTTTTTCTTTTTTGAAAGCAATACTAAAACTTATTGCTTGGAAATTCTGAGAATGTTTCTGATACCGAATTTTTCAAGACAGGCTATTATATGGTCAGTGATTGTAAGAATTCTCTTGTACGTTTCGTTTTCATTAGCCGCCTAGGGAGAAAACACGTCAGTGTACCAAATTTCATTAATATGTCTCGAAAATTGAAACTTATAGATTCAGCATAAGAATGCATGGCTAGAAGTCACGCAGAGACGCGGTTTTAACGACTCAAAGGAATTCTTAAGTCGATTCAGAAAGCGATTTCGAATCGATCGGTCCAATAAAAGATGAGTCTGTCTGATGTACTTTTAGCTGTTGCATACAATCGCTTACACTGACTACGCCTTTACTACAAATGGAATAGGGTATAACAAATTTTTAAGCGATTATACCAATGGTGTGTTTGCTGATGCAGCACGGCTCATTTAATATTCAATGAATTCAATTGAAATATTTTTTTTAAAGAGACGCTTAAAATTCTAAAACTCATAACAGTTGTGTTTGTCAAAATTCGAGTTATAATGCTTTTCTAAGCATTATGCACTAAACTAAAGCTTAACGAAGTTGCTCTCCAACGTATTTTTTGCGTATTTTCGCAACCAAATCCCAAAATTTTAGCTTATTGCCACATAAAGGGATACATTTTATAAAACCTCTTCTGTGTAGAGTGGTTCGAAAAATAGATCTATGCCGGTCAAAGTTGCCGCAAGAAATTTGTCAAATCATTGATTGTACCAATTTTGAACAATAAACACTAGACATTAGACCGTGTTGTCACATAAAATTTATGAGAAGGGGTTCCTCTCTGTTAAGTGTGTGATCTTTAGCCTGGATACACAATCATCCTAGTCGTTCCAATAAATGGCGGGTTTGGCAAAAAATTCAACCCGGGATGCACCCATTACAATCTCTTTATATTAATAATTCGTAGCAGCTGAGCATTTCTGTAGCCAGACTACAGGTTTCATATAGAAAATATTATATATTTTAAACAGAATTATCGAAAATAAAGTTCAGTCAGTGATGCTTTTAAAACAAAATGTCAATAAATTCTGAATTAAGCGAGCTGTTCTAAATTTTGATCTAAACTCTCTCGATCTGAATTTTGACTATCGATTCTCCTAAATCCTGTTCCCTAATCATAAAATTTTTTCGCTAGCAATTTATAATTGATAAGGAATTCTATATATGAATTCAATTGGTTACAACTTCTCATTTGTCCAAAATAACTGAAAAATGGAGTACTTCTAGTTGGACAAATATATATACCACGTTTGTGTATTGCCTTTTTCCTACTTCTTTCCACCCACCACCGTGTTACGTGTACAGGAGACATTCACTGAGCGAACATTAAAAGAAAACCAAAATATGTATAAAATTACTTAGGACAAGTCTATATATTCTACATAATTTAACTTAGGTTTCACTTCTCCAGGAAATAATATAGCACACAACTGCCGTAAGAGAAACAAGCAATTAAACTTAGCCATCTGGGTTCAAATTTCAGACTATCAAGTTATAACAGCTATTTGAAGTACTACTGTGCATATAAAACTTAATGGTAAATAAGGAAAAGCCAGAATTCAATATAAAGGAAAGTAAGCAATAAGTTACAATTTACAAGTTTTAATGAACGTATGATGATAGGGTCTATCTACGCTTGCTATTTTCATAGTAATAGAAAGAATTAGAAAGTCGCGGCTCTTTCCTTATGCTTTGAATTGTATAACGAATTTTTCTATAACATATGTTCAGTTAAGATTACTCTACTTTTCGTGATATTTCTTTGAGTAAAAGTATAAAAGTTAAGACGTAATTCGATTGTGGAAAATATTCCCTTAAAATGCTTTAAAAAATTTGTCTTGTACTTCTTAAACATGTGGAAACTTTGGATTGCAATTCTAGTGGTAAGTTCTACTCCCCTCTGAAGATATCTATAAGAGTTTAACAATTTTTTATGTATTGTTAAATCTTTTTCGGGCTTTCTTCGTTATCTAACAGGCGGTCCGTATAAGTGGAGCCATTAGACCGGGTACTACTAAAGATAGTCAGGAAAGATGCAGTTCCGGGTTATGTCAAAAAATCGACGAGGTATTTTCACAATCCGACCTGAAGCATGATTATAATTACGTAACCACCATACCCGAAGGTGCCATGAATATTACCATTAAACACTTGAGTAGAAGTCATAATTTAATAGGTAGGTTTTGCATTCGACCAATCTTAGATACTTTATACGTCCACTCTTTTACAAAAATAGTTTTAAAATCTCCGGACGGAAACTATATAATAAATGGGAATAAAAAACCCTCAGAGAGCGGTATTTTTGAATACAATAACGACGTATACGATTACAATAGAGAAAAAGAAACGGTAAAAGCCAAAGGTCCTCTACACAAGGCACTTGTGTTAATGGTAAGGTTATAAAGTTATATTAAAGAAAAAGTATTGTAAATATTTATGCGTGCAATTGGTATACACAGATTTTAGCTTTTAGTTCAAATCCCGGCTTGCGCTATACCTACTTTATACCGGTACCTACAGCTTCAGTTAAAGAAGAGGAAGAATTACAAAGTCAATGGAATGAATTGGGAAAACCCTTAGATGTTGCCGACGAAATTTATTTGGAGCAGCGCAAAAAACGACGTCAGTTTTCTTGGAAGCTATTGGGGTTCGGGCCATGCAATCGGTCTTGTGGACCGGGCTTACAGAGTCCGATTTTTAGATGTGTGCGTGATTCACCAAATCGCTACTACTCACCGAAACGTTGTGGTCATTTGGAGAAGCCTATATTTAACATCGACATTTATCAATGCAATGGTGGTTTGTGTCCGCCATATTGGCGAGCAGAAGGCTACGGAGATTGTCAATGCTTGGAAGGCACAGTGAAGGGCTTTAGGAAACGGCAAATCGCCTGCTTACAAGAGCAGGCCAATGGCCAGTTGGAGCTGGTTGATGAAAACAAATGTTCGCATGACAAACTAGCTGAGGTAGAAGAAACTTGCAATTGTCCTCATTTGGCAAAAAAGAAAATACATACAAGAAGTTCAAATAGCACTCAAAAAAATCATTCAGTTTCAAAGTTAAAGCCACAATCTTTGAAAGCTGCAATACGTAAGAAATAGCAAATCATTTAAAAAAAAAATGTAATGATTAAACTTTTATAGTCATACGTTCTTCCAACGTTTCAACTATAACATCCGAAGAACAACGTTTTTATCGCGGTGGTCAGTCGGATAAAATGGGTGTTTGGTTAAAGTCTGAATGGAATCAACAATGTTCTGAAGATTGTAGTATAAGTTTTGAGCATCGTACGATCTATTGTGATCGTACTGCGCCTTATACCGATCTATGTGATATACGTTTTGCTCCCACGCAGAAGCGTACTTGTACTTCACGTTCTCCTACACTATGCGCGAAAGGAGTCTGGTACGTGTCTGAATGGAGTAATTGCACGGGTGAATGTTTCCATTTGCAACGTAAACGAGTCGCGTTATGTTTACTAGAAGGATTAGCCGTGGAGGAAGACAATTGTAATAGCAGTTGGAAGCCAGAAACTGTTAGAAATTGCACCGAAAAAGATGTTCAATTTTGTGGACCAAAATGGCATTATTCCGAATGGTCCAAGGTATAAACAGTATTTATACAATACGTTAAGAATGATATTTTAAATATTTTGATACGAAGCGGGCATTTTTTTTTTTTGGCGGAAGCATAATGAATTTCTGCATTCAATTTGAAATTGTTTGTTGAGGTTCTTTTCGACAAAATTTTGAGATAGTATCACAAACACGATCAGAACAAGAATTTGTGAGGCGCTTCAAGAACTTTGTATTGACATTGAAAATATGCGCAACGTTTAAACTTAAATAGATTTTTGCTTCAATATGCTAAATTTAATCCATTTATGCGACGATGTTTGCATTAAGTTACTTCATCTCTAAAGCGACTTTCTCGCTCTTTTAGGCAAACTGCAACTTTACCATTTGAAGAAACGCATCCTTTTTGTCGTAGTTTCCGCGTCTTGCGTGCCTGCAGTCAGCTTATGAAATGCATCTCTCTTTCCAATTTTCGATGCCAGAATCTTCTCTGAATATTTTTACCATATTTGATAATTTGCCTCGAGCTGGATACGAGAACTTAAATGTGTTTCAGTTTCTGCAACGATTTTATCGTTTGAGTTTTGTCTCTTCCTTGGGTCATCCTTTTGAATTTGCAAGAAGACAGTGGTCGCTAAGCCAGATTCGGAGAATGTGGTGAGTTGGGCGCAAGTTTGATTTTTTCCATTGCGATCATGGCGTTCTCACATTGGATTTTTCCGTTCCATTTCGAAAGCAGCTTTTTCATGATCAAATTTTCATGCCTTCTGATATCTTCAGGATTTCAGCTATCTCTTGCAATTTAATTTTTTGACTCTTAAGAAAAATTTTCAAGATTTTTTTGATGTTCACGGACGTCTTTTGACGTCTACCGCACTTAGCATCAGTATCCGTACAGCGTCGGTTAAACTTAATAAACCACTGTAAAGTTGTTATTTTTGACGGAGACTAGTTGATATAACAATTATCAAACCAACAATGGGTTGGAAAGATGTGTTTTCCCGTTAAAAAGCAATATCTAGTCAACATACGAAATCATCAGTTCATTGTTTTAAGAAAGTAGCTGCAGTCAAATTGCTGTAAGTTTTAATTGATTCGCGTTGGACTTTTGGCTAAATATACGTCAGGAATTATCTTTTCTTATCAGTTGCATTTTTCGCCGTCTAAAAGACGTTATGTGATTACGTTTATATGCAAGAACTAATGTTTTACCGTTGAAAGTGTAGCATCGCTCTCTTCTAAAAGATTGTCAACAACATTAAAGATTTTCAAGAACATTCAAGATTTTCTTTCCACTTCATCTTTTTTTTTTCTTTAAAAGGGTGTGCATTCGTAGCAAGATTGTTGAATTATTCAATTTGTTTCAAAATAAGCAAAACACTCGCGCTTTCATTTGTCCGAACTAACGCTAATACTGCGGACGAATTTCTCTCACTAGAATATGTTTTTTTTTTAATAATATCGTCCATGACTTAGCTTGCAAAGGTATGGATTGGTTGCGTAAATTTTTTGTCTAACCTTTGATCTCCATTAAATATCACTATTTTTTCGATTGCCTAGTAAATGTCCGTTAATCGTAAAACATAACGCGTAGTTTGCCGTATTGTAAACGAAATGATTTCATATGCGCCGTTTTCGGTACATGTGAAAAATTATATAGTTTTCGTAGATGATTTCATTTTGCATAAAATTTATTGCACAGAAAGTATGCCTTATATTTTACTTATATTTTCATAATGTTGATATTCAATTCCACCCAAAGATTGAAAGTCGTCAATATTTTTTACGCAGGCAGTTATAGGCATTCGTTTTCGTTTGACATTTTCAAAAGGGCGGAAGAAATTGGAAATTATATTAGTGAGGCTTTAGAGTGGCCTTATGAAGACGTGTTGGAAGTTTTATTGAAAGTAACGCTATTTAAATTAAAACTACGGAACAGAGAGGTATTTGATAGTTGTAGTATATTTTGATAGTTAATCACTACGTCCTAATGATGTTATAAGGCACCAATTTTTATTCTCATTACTTAATTTAAAAAATTAAGCATGGCGTACAAATGATGTTTAACGTATATTGAAAACGGTCCACGTGGCGGAGGACTTGTTAAGATTTTTTAAATTTCAGCGTTTGATCTTATTTTTATCACATTTCTCTAAATCCAATTATGAAACCATTGAATTTTTGAGAAGTGAGAACAATTTTTATAAGACGTTCAATTCTAGTGTTCCCGTACTTGTGGTGATGGTGTTCAACGTCGCTACGCCAAGTGTTTGATCCACGATAACCAACAAAATGTTATGACCGAATCAAACCAATGTAAAAATGCGCAACGTGAACCTGTATATGGTGTATGCAATCTTGGCGATTGTAAAGGTAAGGGCAATGAGAAAGAACAGTAAGGAGAATCACAAAAGCAATATATAGAACTATAATACTTGGTGGTCATAATGACGTTTACTTTTTTGGATATTTTACAGAAGTAAATGTGCCACCTAATGCTGAGGACAAAGACCCGTTCATGCTAAGCGACAAAGCAATGCCAACGAAAGTAGTGGGTGTGAAAAGAGGTGTTAAGCTTAGCATAAATAGTAAAGAAAAGTTAGTGATAGCCGCAGCACCAAAAGCGCTCCGAAATTGCAACGACGAATTAAATAACTGTAAACGCATTAATCGTGATCGTTTATGCAAATTAGATTATTATAAAACGCATTGTTGTTTAACTTGTCATGGCTACCATTAGAAAAAATAATTCGCTTATTAATTAATAAAATATTCGTTATCACAATTTTTGTTCGCATAAATGTTATGCCAAATTTTAATTTTCTGACACTACTTGATTTATACTGTAGATATGTAGACATCCGTAATAAACTTATTTAAAATCCATGAAAACACATACTTTGATATTTTTTTGTGCTAACAGGGTGGCCGCTTCGTACTATGTACTTGAAGTTTTCAAGTATCATAGCGAACTGCAACTTTTAATTTCATTTAATTTTTTCGATTAAAACTTTCATTCATAAAAAGTGTAGAATTGTTTTTGTAATTTACGAGTTTTGTACGTTTTATGCGATTTTTGTTGAATTTAATTGCTAAAGCGTGTTATTACTGTCTAACTATCGAATTATTGTGTGGTGGCACAAAATTTTTTTGTTTTGCTTTTTTATAGAAAACGTTTTCAATTTTTCTATGTTAAGATATTTATTAAAGTTTCCAATCCAGTCTTAAGTGGTTTAATCGTTTTCCTTGTGACCCCTTCACTTGACTGTTCAATTATTTAATATTTGTAAATATAACAAAATTTCAAAGAAACTGTGCTCTGTATGAGAGAACATAAAGGCGAAGATAATTTGAAAATGTGTCTAAACATCGAATTCTTTTCATTTGCCTTAAGCCCAATTAAGCTTTGGCGCTATTCCGTTAAGTAAGCAGCTTTATGGCAAGTCTACGTAAACAAGCACAGAAAAAATGTTTATTAAAAATTAAGCATTATAAAAGACACGATGACAATTGAAAATAGGGAAGAAAAGAGAATTTCCCTTGGTGTGAGCATAACGTTATTTATATTACCTCCGAAGGATGGGGGCATATTTATTTTGTTGAAAAGTCTGCAAAGTTTGTCCGAAGGAAGTGTCAGAGACTTATTAAAGTATTATTGGTGTGTTCTTTGTCACCTAATGTCCGTCTCCTGGCCGTAAAAACGTCTCCAAATTTTACTGAAACATGGAAAAAATCAGCTCATCCATCATTACATGTAGTTTAATTTTCTTCCTTGTTAAATCTAAGATTGCGCAAACACTGCTCCTACTAAGTAATGGTGTAGCATAGACTGTAAGAAGAATTTGTGACGATTCTTAAATTAAATATTTCGATGCATTAGACGATTAGGCAGACGGATATTTCTTAGGCGATGCCGTTGTTTATGTTTGTAAAATGAAAATTTAATGGAATTCGGTATTAGAAGCCCTTATATGCGAACAAAAGATTGTCGCACGCACGCAAAACTTATATACAATATAAGCTGACAATATGGGTACGCTCCCCAAAAATTTCAATCTTACGATTTGCCAGGCGAATTCACAGCATGAATGTAGCTTGCGTACTCGTTTTTTTGATAATAAATTTTTGTAATAAATTTACTTGCAAAGGTAAGTCGAATTCGCGAAAATGCGGCTAGTAAATATAAATGAAGACCACTAGACTCGTGAATTGAGTAAATTTCAAGTAAAGACTTTGCTTGAAAGATGAAAAGGTGGGTTGAATTTCTCATAAATAATAACTATTTCAACGCTTACTAATATAGCTTCAGTGTATTGCCTTATTTGTGACGGCAGTACGTTAGAAGCTGTAAAGGATATGATAGGACAGTAGCATGACCTTTAGTGATAAATATTAATTTCAATAGTAAAAAGTACATTTTTTTTGGAAATATTATCACGCTAAAAAAAACAAAGAATTTATTTGAAGAGTACTAAATATTTTATAAAAATGAACCATTTTATGAAAGTACCCTCTGAAGGATACATACATACGCTCGAAATTTGGCGTAAAATATAAAAGTATGCTTTCACGACAAACGAATGTGACTTCATTTTTTAAATTATCTAAGGCTGACAACGATTGCTTTTAGGAAGCTAGCGCTCAAGCTAAACTTTCAGAAATGGATATAGGCGGGCAGAGGAATATTCATGCAATATAGAGCATAAGTAAATCGGTTTAATTCTTCATATTAACGAAGTATATGGGATATTCGAAGCTTGTAATAACACAATGTAATAATAATATAAGTAATTTACAAATATAACTATATAATCTCACGTTTAAGTAAAGACATAAGCAAATTACTAAACACAAACATCTTGGTAAATAAGAAGAAAGACTCTTTACCTTTCTCAAATGTATAGCTTTTCTATATTTTTATTTTGAATTTTTTTCTGTTTAAAACCGTTGCTAACAGATCTCTAATGTTGTTTGGAATACACACTTGTGCTTCACATTAATGCTAACATGGATTTTTTGACTCTGTTAACTAAGCTACAATGTAACAGGTTTCTTTAACATAACATAAGTGAAGTTCTGTCTTCTTTGCATATCTAGAATCTATATGTTATTCTAATGCATACAATTTGTAATATTAAAATAGCAGCTAAACCTATAGCTCTTGATTTTTTTTTAAAACTTTCTCTTCCGGACATAGGAGCAACTAAGTTATCGTACATGTGGAAGTGTTTATGTGTTTCACAAACTGTGTAAGTCAAAGATTATGTTTACGTATGGTCGTGTGATGCGTAAGTGTTTACAATGTAACGTAACATTTTATGTTGCACATGAATTTGCGCCTAAGTTTTCAATTTGCTTTTTGCCGCAATTTTAGTTTGAATTTGCGTACGAGACGGTTAAGACGAGCTTTGCCAGGAAATAAAACTCTGATAGATTTATACTACAAATAATTAATAAATAAAAACTTATGAAAATTTAACTAAATAGTTTAAAGTAAATTTATGAAGTTTTTGAAATAAAATGAACAAGAATTTAAAAAAACATTGACAACAGGGGAAAGAAAAATTGATAAAGGACTCCTATTTAGAATACTCATAAATTATCGCAAAAAAAGGAAATATACAATTACAGTGAAAAGTTTAGACTTTTTCAAATTAATTGAAATTTTATTTTAAAGTTTTTAGCGGAAAAAATGTTCACAAAAGTTTAACATATAGTTATGTGTTTCTCATTTAGTTTCTAAATTGAAAATTTTAACCGTAAACAAACGGTAAGTACCTAATTAGAAACATAATAAAAAGTCAAGTAATATTTAATAAAGTAAAAATATGGCAAAACAGTACAGAAATAGTTGCTTTTTATAATCTTCAGTGAACAATGAACTATATTATATTTTTTATTTCCCCTATTATGTCCAGGAATAAGCGTAAAATCTTACAAAAATAAAATGTGTTCTAGAATAGCCCAAATTTTATTTATAAATGTCTACTTGTCTGTCGCTGCACCAGTTTGTTGAAAAGCCTTCTTTTAGTCCACTCTTTTGCTAACTTGTCTTTTCTACAGATTTGTTCGTGTAGCTAAAAGAATCACCGCTTACAGATTTATCCAAACACAGAACCTTTCGTGTGCTTCTTCGACCGTCAATATAGTCATCTGTGTAATGGTCAATTCGTCGACATATGTCATCTGCTCGTCTTAATCCGATCGTGATCCTTCGCAGATGCGAAGTAGACACTTATGCAGACTTACGAGTCTGTGGACCCTTCTCCGTCTCCCTTCGGTGACTATTAAGAACGCGGGTTTACAAGTCTGCCTTCCGAAAGGTTCATGGGCTTTTAGGTAGTCGGCAAGCCGGTGAATAAGCACATTCGTTAGCCTACATGTGTGTTAACGTGCAATCTCGGGCTTCTCTACAAAAAAACCATCGGTATCCATCTAAGCACAAAGAGATTCTTCGGTCTATTGGTCCGTCCTTTTAAGGTTGCAACCATCGTAACTAGTCTTTCTTCAGGATAAACCGTAGATGTCCATCTCATGTCTCTAAAGTGATTTCTCGATCCATTGTATTGTAATGCGTAAGCCTACCTACCTCGTTCACTTACATCAGATCCGTCTCCATACACGTTCGTTCACTTACGGCTGCAACTATCTGCTTGAAAATGTAAAATTTATTGTAAATACTAATTGGTATTCGAGATTGTAAGATGAAGGATTAACGTTTCCTATATCTTTCTAATCTATTGACTTGGAAGAGAAATTCGTTGCATGTTTCATGACATGTTTTACACGGTCCCTTGAAAGTTATGACCAGTTGTGAGCAGATTAAAATATTTATTGAAGATTTAAATGGATATTTAAAGGATATCTGAGAAACAAAATGTAGAGGAAGTTAATTTACTAAACTAGACCGCCAGAGTGCTGTCAGCTTATTTGTATGATTGGATTGTATTTGTATTTTGCATAGTTGCCGTAGGTATTAAACACGCGCGCAAAAACACACGTTTGTTAAAATCTTAATGCTAATGTTAAAGTTGTGACATACATGTATTTGAGAAATGTTGTTGTACATAATATATAATCCTATAAAATATAAAATGTTTAAATTTCCTTAGGACGTTACGCTTCGTTTATTCTCATTAATTTTTTTATGTTTACATTCTTTAATTTTGGAATGTGTTTGTTAGAGCCAAGGAAAATAGGTAGGTCGTGGTTATTAAAATATATGAGATAAAATAGGTTATGATTTCTTATATGCGTTTCTGAAATTCCCAATTTTATATATCAATTAATATAAATTTTGCGGGAAATGCGTTACGAGACCTTTCGTAATTTTATTTCTCTTAAGTATATAAATTTTTGTGACCATTTCCTATAAACACCTTCGTGTACGCTTTTTATATATTTATTATTATCGGGTTGTCGGCCTTTTGTTTTAATAATAATAAAAAAATTCAAAATAAAAGCATTTCATTCAACAAACCACAAAAATTTTAACCACTTTATATAAAACGGTTAACCAAAAGAAAAAATAAAAGACAACACCTTTAGGTTAACCTCAAGTTTTTTTTTATATATGACACAAGCCTAACCGCCAAATAACTGGTCATATTACCATCGGCTAGCCCTTAAGCAAATACATCGTGCATTTGTCTATCATCTTAGAATAAAATTCTATAAATTATTTATTTGTTAATGAATGTTGTTAATGTCAGTTCAATAATCATAAAAAGACATAAGAGGACTTAGCGCCTCTTCTACGCATTTTTATTACCATTTCACCTTTTCAAGCACGTCTCATTTGATTGTTAGTTAGTTATGTTTACGATAAATGCTTGCTTCCATAACAAGCCGTAAACGCGTTAGGTGTGTTTATCAGCAAAGGTTTGATTTGATATAAATATAGCGGAACCTTTTGGGAGGGACGCCAATGTTCAACCATTAAAGTGTGCGCATGTGTTTTACGTTTAACGGCGAGGGTTCTTGAGGAGAGAAAAGTAATAATTGTACGTGAATTTCATGTTTTGTCGGTATTTTATTTTTATTTTATTATATTCTCACCATACGAAGAATCATATACAGTATTCCTCAATATGAAAAAAACGGGAAGAGGCAAATTCTCTTATCTTTGAGAAAGTTTTCCTCTTGTCGACGATAAGCGTTCATTACGGGCAGTATAGATTCTGATCTTCGATACATTTCTATATTTCAATTAAAAATTTTGCATTATATCGATTGTGCATTGTTTGTTTCATGTATGATTGAAATTTATCGTTTCACTCTCCTTTTATTTATTGTTCTTATGAGTTCGTTAAAAATGTAAAGCTTTTATGTAAAGAAGTAGTATATATATGTAGATAGTATTTTTCTTACGATTGGTCGTAAATGTCGAGATATATGAGGCGTCGTTGACTTTGGATCTAATGTAAGTATGTAATTTGTTGTAAGATGTAAAGATATTGCTGCGAAAATCCTCTACATCTTACAATTCTATTTCAATGTAGGTTCAGTACGCCCGTGAATACAAGGTTCCTGCTTATTGACTGGAGACCTTAATAAAAGCAACGGGCACTAGCCAATTTTTAAAAACTGCGATTATCTCAAATTCTATTCACAAACGCAGCGAGAAAAACCAATTAATCAAATACGTTTACCCACCACAAAGACAAGGTGAAAGTTGTGTACGAAAAAGCCTCATGTTTTGATCTCTGTAAAAAGTAAAAACACTATTTCCAGACTAGGCCGCCAATTATATACCCTTGACTGCGCCGCTTAATACCATTTTTTTATTTATTTTCGTTCGAAGAGAGCTTTTGTATGGCAGGCGCACCGAAACCTTAATAGACATAATCTAAATTTTGCAAAATTGGTTGTTTTAAAGAAGGTATTTTTACTCTTCATCTATCTTTGTCAGAAACCAACAAAAATTGGCCTTTAATGTAATATAAAATCGTACTTTTCTTGACAATTATTATATTGGACTGGATCCAAGAAATAGACTTGCATTGCCCAAATTTGTTACAATTAATTTAAATGTTAAATTACAATTATGGATCAACTTTCTCAGTTTTTATGGGCAAAATAATGGTACGTTGCAATCCGCTGCCTTAGATAATTTAAGTATTTAGGACTCTCCGCAACAAAACCAAAAGTCGACAGAACTCTATAAAAAATACAAAGGCTAGAACTGATCATCTGACCTTTTCTCAAACATTAGAAAAATTTCGAGCAATATTATTAGCTTATCAGCCGTACGATTCCTAGTATATGTTGTTTGATTATAGTTTGTTCCCTTTCTATTCAGAATTCGCTAAAAGATGTCCAAGAGTTTAGTGTCCCCATTTTTGATTATAAATTGTAGTTCCATAACGGCTTTGCCGATAAATTGGAGGTAATTCATCGAGCAAATTAGAACAACATGGAAGTATGTTTATATTAGTCAAAAATGAACTTCAGGGATCTAAAAAGTTTACATATTCATGATCAGTACAAGACTCCGGATTAATTTAGGCATCTTTATCCACCCGCGCTACTTTCTGTCTTTACTATTGAGATGGAAAACCGAACGACGTTTATATTCTCTGCTAACAGAATACGGGCACAATAAGACAGCAAAAAAGCAAGATTGACTTATAATCTTATTTAAAATTTGACATAAAGATTTGGTACGATAATAACAGATCAGAGCTAAAATATGTTAATAAGAATGTTACATTTAAAATATAACACATTTGTCTGTTGAAAAGATAAAAGAATTATCTGTTGAAAGTACGCTCTATCTAAAGCTACAACTTTCGCCAACCTTTCAGGCAAATCTTGGTGGCAATCCACGAAAGAGTTCATTTTTGGGTATGGTCGTAAGAGTGGAATTATCATTCGACCAAAAAATAAGTCATCTACTGAAAGAAGTAATATCTTCTGATATCAGCGGGGAGCGTAGGACATTCCAAATCTAAAACTCGCTCAGGAGAGTGAGTTTTGCTATATGCCGAACTTTTTTGTATTTGAATCCCACGATACCATGGGCTGTGGTATATTGCTGGTGCTTTTCGTCACAATTGCTCTAGTGTTGGTGGTAGCTTCCTTAGTGATAGTTTCGTTCTCCTGAACAAAAAGAAAACACAGCATTTAGGTTAAGATAGTACTTTCAAATTACACACACACTTGCACTCAAACATTCCATACCAACGTTAAAATAGAAAGAAGTCTACCTTTTTGCGGTGGGTAAATAGCTGGAACGATGGGCATAGAATTCAATAATGATGAGGGACGTTCAAGCTCCTAGTTGAGGCATAATAATTTAAATATAATGATGGATCCCTTAAGCTACAAGCCTTCTCTAAAGTGGTTTTAGAATTGGGTAAAATTTTGATTTTAGTTTTATACACTGATAATATATTGCTCTTACGCAAGTGAAACTTTGCCAATTATGAACAATCATGCCGTAAGTTTGTGTTACAAATAGGTGTGGACCTACATAGTGGATATAGAAAATTTGCTTTAAAAAATAAGTAACTATTTCGCTTGTTGTGTAAGTCAAATTTCTCGTATGATTGTAAGGTGATTAATGAGCGATCTTTCAGCAATGATCACTATTGACGATGTTTATTTTCATTTTTATATACATCATTTAACTTTAAAGACAACTTCATTTTCATATTTAACTTCAACAAATTAAAATATAGCCACACATAAGTCTTTAATTATAACCAAAGGAAAAAACAGAAAAAAAGAAGAGAAAGAAGAGGAGCAAATAAACCGCAAACACAGTAAAAAAAACATCATCGGTTTACATTAGATATCTGTTAAGATAGGCTTTAGAATACTTAGACTATGACTGCTGTTGCGCTTACAGAATTTAACATATAAAGGCGAGGCGGCAAAAGCTTAAGTGTATGAACGTTTAGATGAAATGTTTGCAGGCCATAAAGTGTCCATTTTAAAAAATCTTTGCACAATGTGTCTATCAAAGCAACTTATTTCTGAGTACACCAATAACTGCCGCTAAGTTTTTTTTCAATGTAACTTGGGGCGCACAATTGTAAAGAAGAGAAAAATTATTTTTGAAAATTGGGTCAAAATTCAGACCTAAAAATAACATCGTGGATTTACTTTGATTCATACGTAGTTTATGCTCGAAACTTAAGAAATATTTTCATGTTTACACATAAATGTGTCAAATTTGCTTCATATACAAAAGTTGCGGCCTCTTCTTGCTGTCATTAGCGTTATTCTCTTCAAGTATAGGCTAAGTGCTAGTGGAGAGGGAGCATCCCGTCGACATCGCACGTACTTGGCTTTAGTTTTGAAATTGGGTAATAGTATCAATTCACTTTTTATTACTTTCAGCTTTAGGTTCCTAGCAGCTCTAGTGAGGTTACAGCAAGTTTGTTACTCAGTCTGTATGTTCAAAAATTATTTTATAAGAACTTGGCGGAACAATTATATATGTAATTAAGTGTGACCAAGGCATCAAAGTTCAACTCATGTCCGTTTGCAAATCCTTACATTTATTTGCTTGCTCTTTTTGTTCACTACCTGTCCGTTAATTTAATGTCCCCGTCTACGTACTTATACATGGACTTATCAGTCGTATATGCGTCTGTTGTCTCTTTTTGAGGCGTCTTTTCATAGATATTCTTATATCATTTATTAAATCGTTGTTAAATACTGCTTGTCACGCCCTTTATTTATTTATTTTTCGTGCTAATAGGCCTGTCTACACGTACACTTTGATATTGCAGATGGTATATTGTGCCAAAACTAGCGATCGATTTAAAAGTTAAATAGGAACTCTAACATATTTATTTTTTTATTATACTACTAGAACGTTGCGCGAATTGGGATTGCAGGGTATAGAGTAGATGGGTATCTAAGGTTCGTCTTCAGCTGGTTGTATCTTTGTCAATTCTGTTTTCATTTTTTTATTGGAAACATAAGTATACATAAATATATTTACTTACAAAGTATAGGAAAGACAAGTGTTTCCATTGATAAATAAAATCGTAAATATTTCACATAATCGCATTTAAACAATTACAGAAAAGCTACTGCAGATTAATAGGGACTATATGTAGACCATGTGGATATGTTCTCTTTCATAATATAATAATTCATTTTCATTTTTTTCTTAGAAATCATCTTTTTAAAAATAGCAAAAATTTTTGAGTACTGTTATTGACGATATTGTTAACAACGTTTGCAATACTTCTACGCTATCCTTGCCTTTACCACTAAAAGAAATATATAAAAACTAAACTATCTGTAACCCATAATTTGCGCGAAAAATGAAAAACAATATGCATTACATAGTCCAACGATTACCTGAACTAAGTGCAATCATAGACATCATTATGAGATGAATTCTCCTTTTAGTGGTCCTCCTCTTTATTATTCTTCCCTTCTCTCCTTTATCTTTTGAACATTTCGTAAATCAGCTTGCTGTGTGTGTTGCGTACTTAAAAAAAAAAAGAAGAAAATAAGAAATTGATGGGAAAACATCTTTTATTTTAGTGATCCGTGTTATATCAGTTGATTTATCATTTCGGGTCAATGGTGTGACAAGTTGTTTTACTAAATCATTCATCACTGAAATGAACACAAGTCAATCAATTATGTTAAAAGAGAGTTTATAAGACGAACATTCTGTAAGATGATAACCGAATTAAACTAAAAGTAAAAACTTCTAAGTAATAGTTTAACTTTCTTCACTTAGTTCAAAAATGAAGAAAAAGCGCGCAGTCAATACAAAATGGAAATTTTGCACAACTGAAGCGAATTTTTTTTTTGACTAAAACATATTCTTTCATTTGAGACAGAAAAATTCATTGATTTCATATAGTCTCACAAATTTTCGATACTGTATAACGGTAACTGCGATATAGGTATGTATGGAAAAAAAATCCAAGCTATCAATTGTTGTCATGTTTTTGCTTTAATTGATAAATTTTGGGGTCCATTTTCAAGTAATTTATTAATTTTTGCATGGATTATTGTAATTGATTCAGGGCATTTCTAGGCCAATATATAAAATGATCCCAATGAATTCACCACCTCTATTTAGATTAGACGTGGACAATCGCCGATTCGTAACGTCGCCGAATCCGGTTAAACAACAATAGCTTGTTTATCGATGAATCACGCTTAGTATGACTTTTGCGTTTATGAAACTTCTGCGAAGAGAACAGGGACCTCTCAATAGATAAACATCTACTATGCTAACACTATTCTATTCGAAAAATATATGTATATATATATATATATATATATATATCTTTTGAACATTTCCGCGTGTTTTAGCTTCAATGACAAAACGAGTATACAAAGATTTTCACGCATTAAATGTCATCGTATTTGAATGAGTTGGACTCATTTACGAGATTTTTATTTTGGAAATGCAATGCGACTACGTAGAGATATAAAAAACACTAATTCCCAGTTAAAAAAATTGGTGTAGTTTGCCTGCAAATATACAAACAATCTGGAACTCGCTGAAAGCTTTTAAAATGTAGAAAAAAAAAATTGGCGTCATTATTCAATGAAAGTCGCTTTTGCGGTATCTGTGAAAGTGAGAATCATACGTTCTACGCGGTGCAAAATAACACAGAAAAGAGCAAGAATATGTATAATGCTGCAACTGAACCGATAGTTAATGCTTAAAGCTTCATAACACGCACACTTTTTATATGTCGTCAAAAGGACTGTTTCCATAAACAGTTTGTAAAGACAACTCCTAGCGTGTTAAAGAAATTATAAACTTTACAACAGTAATTCATTGGATGCAGTGAAGCGATCTTTTCGCAGCATTTAGGGGAGGGCTCGACATGTCAAGGACAGAAATCATTTGCTTCCTCCTACAGAAAGAAAAATTTACAAAATTACTTCTAAATAAACAGACATGTCTTTAAACGAGACCTTAATGGCTTATGTTTTTTTTTACGTTGCGATCATAAAAAGTGTTTTATTATATATATAATTTTTCATTATTTTTATACATATTTTCTATTCAAGGTTTAATGTATAATAAAATTTCATTAAATAAAACTCATGAACTCTTTTTTCTAAATAAAACCTTTTGAAATATCTTGAAAAATTTTTTAAAAGAGTGTATTCGTATTAAAAGATTTTAAATAAGAGATGAGTCATTAATCAATATAATTCAATTTTATGGTGGGAATGCTATCATTTATTTAAAGGTCTAAATATATTCTAAAGTAACTAGACATTCTATTTTTTTAAAAATAAATAAATTTGTTCTCACAACCCTCAACCAACACACTGGACATATAGTTTAATTTTTTTTTTTTGTTTGTGATTTTGAATCTATCAACGTAGTTTGAGATCAATTACAGATAATATTACATTATTTAATTAAATCAAAAACTAAATCATCAATACATAAATTTGTGAGTTTGTACATACCATCATGTATGTTTGTTAATGCGTTTTACACTCTAACGCGAATACTGAGTGTTACAAATGCAATGAATGAAGAGATCATTGCTCTGGCTAAATAGATATATAAATAAATTGACAGACAATTTATTGAGTATTGAGTATGCGTCAATACGTATGCATTTACATACATAAAATGATGACATGGCTCAGGGATTCCAGACGTTAGATAATATTTAAATTATTTTTTTATGTAAAAATGCATAGAAAATTGAAAAAAAAATTATTTTGTTGTATTCAAAATATTCGAGGAATTTCTTATAAGAATAACATTATATACGAACGCACATGTGAGCCTGTTTAATATTTACTTTGTCGTTGGACTTATATGTGCCTAACTATGATTTCAATTTGGACCGAGCATAAGCTTAGGATCTACCCATTTGTTAAAGTCTTGTTCTGATACGCCAGCTTTGAGTGCTTCTTCTTTTAAAGTTG